GACTGCCATGGAGGACTGCGTGTCTCTTTGAACCTCAGAGCAGAGACATGCACCACAGAAAAGTACAGTACTAGGGATGAAATGTGAGATGCCTGTTAAACCCATAGACTGTATATAAAGGTTAAACCCCAAGGTCCCCGTCGGCGGGGACCCTGTTTTTTTTTTTCACGACACTGTGTCTCAGGGGATCTTAATATTTAAGAAGTGAACCTATTAATGTGTTATACCAGATTAACGGAAATAATCTCAGCTAACTGACGATACAAACCATTTTTACTAGGGCCGGGACTCGATTAAAAAAATTAATCTAATTAATTAGAGGCTTTGTAATTAATTAATCGAAATTAATCGCATTTTTAATCACATATAAATATTTGACCTGAGAACAGTGAGAAGCAATTTTTTTCACATGGATTTTAGTATACCATTAGGCGCATTCACACCGCAGTACTTTTCCCACCTGGGGGTGGATTAGACAAATGAAGCCGCTGACGTCACTTCTTCTTCTTCTGCTTTGGGTTTACTGGCAGGCCGCAAACCACTTCACGGCGTATACTGCCGCCCAAAGTCCCCGGCCGGAAGTCCCCTGAGTTAGGGACTGGCTTCAGTAGAAGCTGCTGGGAGTCCCAGCAGCCTTCCGAGTAAATCGCCAGAACGCCGACACCTCCTCATCTCCACCGCTCCCATGTTTTATTTTGTGTTGCCATAAGTTAGTCTCTCTGCGTTTCTGCGCTGGGCTAATGCTAATAATGCTAATGCGAGGATAATAAAATGGCGGCTTCACAAAACTTTTTGGGAGTTTTACGGGGCGTGGTTTGCAATCCGCCCAGCCAATCAGAAATATAGCTCTTTTCTCACAAGAGAGCCGTACGAAAGTCCCAGCTCTCTAGCAGGGACTTTCGTGGGGGTAAAAAGGTTCTCATTAACTAATTTTAGTACCGGCTCTTTTTGGTGTGAACGCGATTAAAGAGGCTAACGTCCACGCTAGCTGCTATATGTTTTGCATTGAGGTGATACTTGAGGCTTGATGTGCTGCGGTGATATGCGAATTCCTTTTTGAATAATTTGCACACAACCGTGCTCTTATCGACGCTTCCATCCGTCCGTTTTTTAAAACAACATTTCCCACTGTTGTTCACTGTGGTTTGTTGTTGTCTGAAGTCATGAACGTTAGTTGGTGCTCCAGTATAATCGGTACGCCTGAAACTCATCCAGTGAGAAACGTTCCGCGGTGCAAAAATAAGTGCGATTAAAATGCGTTAATTTTTTTAACGCGTTAATTTTTGTGTGATTAATTAATCTTAATTAACGCGTTAAAGTCCCGGCCCTAATTTTTACCAAAACAAAACACAAGTCTCATAAGTAGCATCTAAATTACCCCTTAGCGAAAAATGCTAACGGACATTGGCACAGAACTCAAGATAAAAGTACCCTTATTACTTATCGTAGCTGCACATACAAGATATCAGATTAAAGCTGAGGTTCCACAGATTATTTACGTATATAGTATCATTACTGAGTCATCCGAACTCGCGACAGGGGAAGCAAACACAGACATCACAACACGTACCTTTACGGAGCTTCTAGGGAGATCGTCTCACCGTAGCGGTCAATCTGATCAAAAGACGTGTTCAATGACATTAAAACGAGAAAAAACGCGGCTGAATCGGTTAATCCATATGTTTTTAACGTCTCTGTATACAAAATGTATTTCATTTATAATCCATAATTCCATTTTTATGTAAAAATCGGAGAGCAAAAGTTAGTTGCTAATGGTAGCCACCAGAGTGGCTGCTGCTTCCGGTCTAGGCAATGCGGTAGTCTCACACACACACACACACACACACACACACACACACACACACACACACACACACACACACACACACACACACACACACACACACACACACACACACACAAATAAGGACTATGTGGGAGTTCCCCTCGATTCCATTGGCTCTGACGGTCAGAAAGAGATGTCACATGTCAAAATCCAGCAAGGGGGGCCAGAGATATGGAAAATCCACCCAAATGGCCCCAGAAGAGGTTTTATTTTTGCTAAATCTGTCTAAAAAGGTCAAATATCACTTGTTTTGCATCAATCTTGATACAGGGTATATGTAGTATATGTTGTACTTTGGATTCCTAAAGCTTTTAGTCTAATAATCCATCATCCAAGGTTAGTTTTCGCTATAAGTACAACATATTTTTTGGACGGACACTATAATTGACAGTTTTTTTACCATGTTCAATCTGAATTTTCTTTAAAATAAAAAACATCTATATTGATTCTGACTTTTCTACATCCAACTCACAGGTTTATCATTACTTTGAGAAAAAAGATTATTAATTTAACCCTTTTAGAAGGGAAGATATGGTCATTTGTTCTGGGAATGTCATTTTCAAGCCTGAAACCTGAAAAACAGGCTCAGGGTTTAACAGGTTAAATAGTTATAATCACATTCTGGGCAAAACATCTATATACATAAAGGGATTTATTGTTTTTACATGAGTAAACGTGCATATTTATTTAGTTTGCTTGTGCTTTATGTTTGCACAGGAAGCATTAGAGGAGCATTTAGCCCTTAAACTATTCATTTATTCAGTCAAACTACGTCTTTGAGTTTCCCTTTCAGCCTGACCAAAAGCTAGTGTTTAAAATAATCCCACTGAACATGTTTGGCAAACCACTCCTTCCTCCTTATGACCACAAACCATTTACACATTCATGTTTAAGCCAGCAGTATACGCACTCAATCTTGGTAAGTGCACTGACGTTGTGGTTTCTCATTGAAAAGGTAAAACAAAGGGCAGCTCCTCGCCTCCCTAAATGCAGCTTTTATCACAAAGCACACCTCGTAAAATTAACACCTCTTCAAGTTGAGCTGCAAATGTCTTCTGTCAAACAAACACACAGACACACACAGACACACACACACACACACACACACACACACACACACACACACACACACACACACACACACACACACACACACACACACACACACACACACACACACACACATATACACACACATATACACACACATACACACACACACACACACACACACACACACACACACACACACACACACACACACACACACACACACACACACACACACACTGCCACAGCTGTGCAGCTAAATGAGCAAAGTGTTGACTTCGGACCCTTTGCTTTACCCCACCATTATTCTTGCTTTTCATTGGTTCCTTTTGTCCGGTGCATTCCTGAAGTTTCCAATATAATGTATACAGGAGGTTAAAATGTTGTATGCGCACACAGTGAAGCAAACACTCCATTTGAAAGGTTACTTCTTGTGCACACTACCATCTATGTCTGTCGTCACAGACTTTCACACACTAAGGTCACTGCGGCCATTCGCTGATTTTATTCTCTGCAATGATTGAGAAATAAATAAAGAAGAGAGAGAAAAGAAGGACATTGATGTAGAGCAATCAGAATGGAAGAAATTGTCATTAGATGATGATCACTGAAACCCTTTAAAAATATGTGTTGTAGGTTTTTTGCACACAGCAAAGTGTGTATTTTACTTTTGGTCTGTGAACATCATACGCACAGATCAGATCAGCAATTACAAAACTGTAATCATAATATAAGAAAAATACCTGATCTTCATCCTAGAAAAGACCTAGGAGAATTCCTTTTTGTGCATTCGCCCCTTTATTTGGCACATTTGGCGTTTGAGACAAAGCAAGATCAGAAATATTGGATGATTTACAGAATGTTATTTATGTGTATGATTGTATTCTTCTGAGGACATTGGCAGATCTATGGTGCACTTGTCAATCCCAAAATGTGTTTTCCTTACATTGTTTTAATTTGAAGTCGAGCAGCTAAATCACTTTAGTCTCTATGATAGGCTCTGATTTCCTTGTATAAATAAATGGCTGTTAACAATTCTGGAAAACAATAGTGTCTGATTAGGATGTGTTTATCAATAACAAAATCCAAATGAACCATCATATCAACATGTTTAATGTGAAGTCATCGCTGAGGCTCAACTCAAGCCTTTAGATATGTCTGAATATCTGATCATGTAAAAAAAAATGTAATCCATAGATTCAATTAATTGATTTCCTCCTTTAGCAAGTCAATTATTTATAGTCGCTGTGACTGAAAATGCACTAAACAGATGATCAATGTCAGAGATAGTGGTTTTGCAAAGCAAATCAGGCCATGGAGACAGAGCTGCTCTGAGCCACAGACAGTGTTTGCTCTACAGTCTCTTCTCACCAAACTGCTGCTCTTACCCCATCACGTATTTCTGACAGTTTGGCTTCAGCTTTCGGCACACACGTGAACATTTCCCTCCCAGATGGATGAGCAGCACATACTTCAGCTCTGGAGAAAGCAAACTATCCAGGGATGCAGCAGCGTGGGAAACTCCTGGCTAACTTCATCTCTGCAGGATGATGATGTGCAAGATGCTAAACTCTCAGCTAAAGGCAACTTTAATTGAAGCCTTTTAGATCCACCAACAGCCAAAAATAAATGTCATTTGTTTCTGTCACTGAAAAAACTCACACTAATCTTTGAGTTAAAAAGGTTTTCTAAACGTTTCTAATAATAAGAAAACTTTTATGAACATTTTATCTGTCGTGCTGTATATAACAATGCAATATTTGTATATAAGAACTGCTATTTAAAGTTTTTGTCAAAGCTGAGGTTACTAATCCCATTTAAGTAAGACAATATTAAAGCCAATAACAAATATTTTCGGTGGATTTCTTCTAAATTACATTGAAAGCTACATTTTGATTAACCAATTGAAGGACGAATTGGATGCAAAGTACATTTTTGAAATAACATCGGAGCTCATGCAATGCACAAACACTCAATTAACGGAAATAAACCAACTTTCATGCAGATGCACACAAAAAAAGAGTATTAATTACACAAATAAATTGCTAACAGAAAATCAAATCAATTGAAACACAGGATAAAGTGAGAATAGGACAGTGCTTACCTTTGTGAGTGGCCTTTATGTGGGAATAATCACTGCAGTCAGACTAAAAGCAGAAAAGCAGGAAGACAGACAACCACACAGGGAACCCTGGGAAATGTGCTCATAACAGACGCACACCTTGTGGACACGGCTTATATCTGCTGGAGGGTGGAGCCACTCAGTGGGTGGGGGAGAGCGAGAGAGGAAGGGAGGGATGGACTGAGAGTAAATTTAACCTCCTAAAAAAGTAATACCATAATTTATAGTGGCAAAACAGGCTCACATGACCCTGCTAGGCGCCCACAGTGGATGGCAACGATAAAGAGGAATGTTTCCCTCATTAATATTGTGATATATGGGCCACTGTGTGCATTATTCACATGTATGAGCCCAGACACACTGGAGCTGTTTTTTTAAAGATCACCTGGCCTGGCACACACCTGGATAACAATTGTAAAACAGGCATGAATACACACACACACACACACACACACACACACACACACACACACACACACACCACACACACACACACACACACACACACACACACACACACACACACACACACACACACACACACACACACACACACACACACACACACACACACACATGCATGCACGCACACAGGCCCATAATGAAACATTTACAGGCCTTTAAGACTAAATAACAATATTGAACTGCTTTTGAACAATTGTGCAAATATATTTATTTCCAAAGTAATCTGAGTTAGTGAAATTGAATTACATATAGTATGTGATACTGTTGCTCAAGAAGTACAGAGGGTTGTCTTTTAAACACAAGGTTGGTGGTTTGATCCCTCTGGAAGAGGATTAGGGCCACATGTGAAAACAAATTAGGATCTGACCGAAAGAGAATTTGCATTTTTGAGTTCTGAGATTAAAGTCAGAATTCTGAGAAAAAAGTCAGAATCGTGACTTTAATCCTCTTCTCTAGACCCCCTAACTTTCCTTGAGCAAGACTCTGAACCTCAAGTTGTCCCCAATTGCATGCAGCTCTGCGATTGGTGTGTGAATGAGAGCCACAATTGCAAAAGCACTTTAAATGGAGTCCATTTATAATTGATGCTGTTGCTACACAATATTACATTATTGCCTTTCAAAATATGGGCGTAACAAATAAAACAGTGTATAAACCTTAGATTTAACATTCAAATTAAGCAATAATCTAAAGATACATGAAGCTTCTCTGTAGTCCGCCATGCCCACAGTATAATGAATTCTGAATGGGGGCCAATGTGAATGGATTATGTATTTTGGTTATACAATAATGCATCAATACTGTTGCTTTTGAATATTGTTAGTGCGGTTATGTGACTTTCTGTAAGTAAAAAGTTGTTGGAAATGTAGAACAGTAACTTAAAGTATTTATATTACTGTTTCGATCATATGTTTCATTATTCCCAATCATAAATTCAGCATCTGCATTCGTTGCCAAGCAGAGGGAAAAATAACATCCGTGCATTTACACCTGTCATGGCAACAGAGTGAAATAATTACTCAGCATTACACGTGGTGAAAAGGTGTCGGATGAGCACTAAGAAGAAGTAAATTCAGTCACAGCTGTGGACTAAAAATACGCTTTTCTCAGAGGGCCTTTGTTAGTGTGTGACGACAGACACTTTCCAGGGCAGGTTCGACACCTGTCCACAACAACTTAGTAACTCTGACGTGTTCAGCGACTAACTATTAAACAGCGCACACACACAGCACCACCCTGTGTTCTGCACCTCCGCTATGACCGTGTGTTTTCTCAATTTCCTTTGCGTCAATCGCCCTTGTGATTTTAGATAGAGAACAGAGTCCACTGTGTGTCCTAGTGGAGGGTGGCTTTATTTTGTGTGTGTGTGTGTATGTGTGTGTGAGGATAGTGGGTGCATGCGGTTCCAAAGTGACACAGTGGTGTAAAAGGGTGGATGTCCTGTTGCATCTCCGACAGCCAAGTGTCAGCTCAATCAGCTTACTGCTCCCATCATGACTGTCTTACTGACAGTCATTTTTGATGAAGTTCACAGTGATTTCAAAATGTTAGTATTATGTTAAGTGTGGGTGAGACAGCAACAAACACAAGCCCTTTAGTTATATTGTCTTATATCTCTGTAGAAATGCACTACAAGCCCTTTTGTAAAAAGCCACCTGGTGTGCCAGGCCTCATAGATATTGGTCAGAAGCGGCCTGCAACACCTACTAGTAGCTTTTACAGGACTTTTACCCAGGAGACTGGTGTTTGTGTCCCAATTAAAATGAACAAGGTTAAGTTATACTTAAAAAGGTATTAATTTTAACCAAAAGCACAATCTTTTCCTAAATGAAACCAAGAATTGTGGTTGTATTTTCACAAAGAAGTTGACTTTTGGAAGTTGTTCACTTTCACAACGTAGTAGGTGCAGTTTGGCCAACCTAACTTATTAAAATGTTAATGATTACCACAGATAACATCAATTTAATCGGCAGATAACAATGACAATGTTTCAGTCATCTAAGCTTCATTGTGACAATGCTTGTATTTTTAAGGTAACCCATAACATAAGATTAAGTACCACAATGCGGTATTCATCTTCTTGGGAGCATAGCTTGTAATTGTTCCCCCTACCGCCCACTCAAATACAACTCATATAAATGCAATAAACACAGCACACACACACACTCACAGGAACACACTTAGAGTTGCGGTGTGAAAGGTACACGATAGCCAGGGGGTAATGAGTTGTGTGTGTTTACCGTCGTGCTTCAATTCTCTTCCTGTTCCATTAATGAAGCCTCAATGGGCCTCACAACTGCTTCTCACCACCCGGCCTCCACCTGTTGTACTGTAAGTTGCTGAATGTGTACGTAGACCCATTGCACTGACTCAGTACAGTAAAACCCTCAACCGTGACTCATCATCACACATCAGCAATCAATTTGTCCTTGTAAACGATACTTACAAGGTTTTATACAATGTGTAGAATGCTACAAAAATGACCTTGCATAAACCATATGTCAAAATGTAAGGGATTAAAGTAACGGCTTCAAATACAAAGCTAGTCTAACGAAATACTGTTGTATCACACAATGCTCTTTCCCACTAGTTTAAATTAAGGACACTTTTCCTAACTGAGTGCTCACAAACACACACAAACGATCACCCACATATTTCTTTTTTGTGCACTTACCCAGACATAGAATTGCACACAGTATATATGAGTGTCTTTGTTTTCCCACCAGCTGGCATGCCTCCTCTCTGCCCTGAGAACGTTTATGATGCATATTATGCATGACATTGTCCAGAGCCCCTCGATGAGAGTTACACTAGGTATTTGTTTTTTTGCCTCAGCGTTCCCACTTAAACGCTGAATGAAAACACTAATTTGGTTTCTCTATAAATACTGCCTAATAATAATCCAAACAAGTAGATGCCAGACAGAGAGGCATTTTAGACAGTAGACGCAGTATGCCTATCAATGTGTGGAAATGTGCTTATCAGATGTATTTGTTACCTCCAGAGCAATCTGTGTCCACTTGTCATTTATCATTCTGTCCCTTGCTCTCAGTCCCCAACTTTCACAGATCATTTTTCTGTGACCTCCGCTCCTCACACTATGTCTGCTCCTATTTAAATCACAGCATCTCACCACCTCTGCTTTAGGCCATCATGACAACTGTAAATTATTTTATTTGCACAGCTGTGAGTTTATTTTGTACAGTCATAAAGCCGAGAAAATAAGCCGATCACCACAGCAACTCACTGAATCTGTTTTTTTACAGTTTACCAGTTGCTATCCCATGGTCCCTGTCACATATTTAGATGAGTTTATGGCATCTGACTTTGTAAGGCTGCCACATTCCTTACTCTTTCTCTCTTCAACATGAGGCAATCTTGGAATTTGCAGTGCAAACAGAGTAAACATCTGAATGTGTCCGTGTCACCTCGTCCATAGGGACAGAGAGCTGTGGAATTTAGACTGTCCAGAAAAAACAAACAAAATGCAAGTGATCTATAAAACAATCCGTGTCACCAACATAAGAATAAAATACTTTATACGTACTATTTTCCTAAAAAGAGTGTCTCCATCCTGCATCATCACGTAAACATAGTGTACAAATATGTATGTCCCTCTTGCCAGATTCTGATCTCACACTGAGTTAATATTTACTTCTTCATGATGTCACCAACAGGCATCCGGCTGGGATCTTTCAGCAGAGAGGTAAATCAGGGTTATACCCACAATGCTTTTCAACAAGTGTATGATCAGCTTCTTTCTTTTTAGACTTTTACTATTTTGAACTTTTGCCCCAGTGGCCAGAACAGTGAACCTTGACCTTCCTTCTCTGACCCGAGAGGTCACGCTGAACTAACCCCACACGTGAACAATGGAGGGCAGTAAACCAAGAAACTCAGAAATACGTCACACATTTCATCTATACAACTAATGCACAATCCACGTTCATAGACGCTGCATAAACCTCACTCTTATCAAGTATATAATGTTGGTCAACAGTTTCTTCAACACTTTGATTCAGACAGAAACATCTTACAACTGGTTACAACTTAAAATTGGTTCAGACATTCATGGTACCCAGATTAATGAATCCAAATGACTTTGTCTTTAGCTGTACTAAGTGTTTAGAGCCATAAGAAAACATTAGCATGCTAATATGCTATACTAATAATTATGCCCCGGCCACACGAGGACGAAAACGGCTAAACGCATAGGATTAACGCAAACGCAACCGCAAAAAAGCTTCCGTCCACACGCAATAGTCATCCGGATAGTGTCTGTCCACACGAGACAGCTCCGTTTAGCTCCAACCGCTGGAGAAGCTGCAGTACATATGCCGAGCCTGTACGTGGCGCTGTAACTTCCTCCACAAAAGCAGCGAAGAAGCATGGTTGTCATGGTTGCCCTTCTGTTTATTCTCCGCGGTGGGGGCCGAGGGAACCGGGCAGAGTTTTTCGCCAGTCAACGTGTATTAAAGTTTAAATCTTCCGACAAAATTATAAAAGTGCCGGTCAAAGGTCTTCTTTGTTATTTATTGAGCTTTAAAACAAATGAATAACGACTCTATATAATATAATAATAAAAATACACGGAGCTTCTCTTTTTCCTCCCTCTCTTCGGACAGCGTCAGTGACTGTTTCATGCAGC